AGCAAGATATTAGATGAGATACAGGTACATTAATATAGCAGAGAATATCATACCATGTTTCATGATTTCTGACATTGTATCAAAGTTCAACTTTGCATCATATGGGATCATAAAGACATCTTCAATCTTGGTCATAATCTGAAAGTCAATAATTAGTGAGTACAAATACAACTTCAGTATGCGAAATACAAGTGTAAACACAAGAAGTTCATTAACATACTAATGTTATTGCAAATTAGTACACATTTTCCTGAGTTTGTTAGACCTGCAAAAATAATACCATAAAAAGGTAAAAAATTATGCCTGAACAGCACTTGTTGTTTAAATATCTTTGGATTCTGGAGAACGAAACTAAACATGGGTGAATGGAAGAATGATGAGATGATTATACTGGGAAGCACTCATGGAATAACTTGGTAATATAAATGAAAGTGTCAATGACACTATAGCCACCTTGTGTCACAGTTGTGTGTGATAGAAGAGGGAGATGATATTTAAAATTTGGTAAGCGTTTCATTTATGACGGACCGAAATGTGATCAAATGTCCTTACTACCCGTTTTATACGATAAATAGAAATTTCAGTGTTTTATTTCAGGGTTCGTTCTGATGCGAAATCTGGGCGAGAGATGGTGCTACTCCTAAATGATCGCCATTTTGGTTTTCGATTATCGCGCAAATAAAAGCAATAAACTGTTCCAGTCAAATTACTGTAACAAAGAATCTAAAACACAATATTACACGTAGGTATGATTAGGTAGGTAGGTAGGTAAATTTAACAAAATCGAATGAATCTAGATGGCCATTTTTATTTTTGCCAAAAAGTGAGCGTGGCTCGAAAGTAGGTCGACTGGTGTGCTCTAAAATAGGACGTTCAAATCTCTCCCATAAGAGTAACAACTGTATGCAATTTGAAACATGTGGGTCAAACGGTTCTCGAGTTATCGGTGACCGTAGGCAGACAAAAGATTCCCATCCCTGGATAGGGTGCCAGCCAGTCAAAGGCAATTTACGTCATGTAACAGGTGAACTTATTTTGGGGCAGAATTTTCATATTTCATTTGTGAAAATTTCAAAAATGCAGGTGCAAGTTTGCTATTTATTTGCTGTTTTTGCCCTGTAACAGCACAAACTCAGCACACTTTTTATGCTGGGGTAACCGGTAATATGTCTGCTAAAAGGTGGGGCCTAATTTGTCGACATCTAATATTGTATTAATATTTCGATTTTATTTGAGAGATCATAATTTTAAAGTCAGTACTTCATATATTTTCAGGACCATTGTGGTACTTGTCGGTATTGCTTGCGTGACAGCAAAAGCCTACAGTAATGCTGACATGTAATAAAACATTCGTACATCATTACTTTCACCAATATATGCAACAATTGAAATTTCTTTGTTGTTAGTTACTTGTTGACGTCACACGATTCCTGCATCTTGCAAGAAAAAGTTACAAACTGGTCTCTGGTCTCTACATTTCATAATAAAACTTGCATAAATTAATAGATATGGAGTACCAGTCTATAACCACTTATGTCAGAGAATCAGAGGCGCCTTAGTCAGAATTAGATGCACTTGTGTTTGTGGCATTATTTACACAGCAATAGTTACAATATTATTCAGGCATGTTATATGCTATTTCATATACTATAAATAACAGCATAAATCCTTAGTAATTTTCAGGTTTCTATAAAAAGAAGCCTATCCACTAATAGGTGAGACTATGTGCATGTTTTCAGATTTTGGATGCATTCGAGAAATGATTACATTAAGTCGTTATCTATCATACCTTTTTTAAACTCATCCAACATGAGTGCAAGGCTCGTATCGCCAAACACGTTTGCGATTGGATGCTGATAAAACTTGCAGACGGTCTGCAGTGGAGTGTTGTCGTCGGGATCAACAAAAGCCAGATCCTTGATGTTCAAAATTGCAACAATGTTCGTCCGATCTCCATCATAAATAGGTACACGGGTGTAGCCTGAAGTACAAGCAAACACAGTTTATACACACTCGGCAGATCACTGTGACACGTCATCTACTATAGTACCATATATGCTACCGCCCTCAATACCAAAACCAACTAGAAAGGGCAGTTGTCGCCAACTACATGTATCCCCCGTGATCTCCCCAAGATGTGTAAGTAGACTATGTTTGGTCACGCTAGGTCAATTAGGGGTCGAGTTATAGAGCGGAAGGGAAAGTGTCTGAAGGTCAAATAAAGGTCGTAGTGACCTGGTTTTGGTACGCTGCGCACCTTCTCCCCAAGATGTGTAAGTAGACTATGTTTGGTCACGCTAGGTCAATTAGGGGTCGAGTTATAGAGCGGAAGGGAAAGTGTCTGCGGCGGCGGCGGCGGGACAGACATGAAACGATAGTATCCCCGCCGACTTCGCCGCGGGGGATACAATTATACGACGTTTAGCAACTTGCTTCGTGATTTGATTACTTGTTGAAGTGTCTACACAACAAGTGCATATGTACCGGTACCTAAGTACATAACACAACATATTATCTCGCATGATATGTAAGATATATAGTAAAAGTGTCTGATAAGCGTGCTGGATAAAGTGAACTCGCACTGCACGTCGCTCTACTTCAACCAGTTGCCAATATACCATTCTTACTCTTCTTTACATTAGAGTTATTAGTTGACAGCAACATATCCAGAAATACCTTGCTGATGATGTGAATCAAACGCCTGTCTATTACACTGTGATGCAACAGCGTATATAAGACAATAATCATTATATTTCAAGAGTGAAATTCGTGAGAAAGATTCGACTATTGTTTGTGAGAATACTGAGAGTGCAGTGAATGTACACCGATGAACAGTCCCAATCATTCTCATATTTACTTGACTGTTCTATAGCTTACCAGTACACCTTGCATAACACCAAGTGTATACAGTACAGCAAACATGTCTAAGAATACTCGTACATCATTATTTTCGCCAATATGTGCACTGATTTGCATTTTGAAGTAGATTTGCTTACATAGGTCAACATCAATACCACGTGATTATCACGTCTCATGGATCCCATCATCCAAATCCCATCATGGATCCCATCACCCGGATTCAATAATGGATCCTATCATCTGGATCCAATCATGGATCCCATCATCTGGATACAATCATGGATCCCATCATCTGGATCCAATCATGGATCCCATCATCTCAATCCCATCATGGATCCCATCATCTGGATCCAATCATGGATCTCATGATGGATCCCATCAACCGGATCCCATCATGGATGCCATCCTCCGGATCCCATTACAGATCCCATCATGGATGTTATCATCCGGATCCAATCATAGATCGGATCCCATCATCCACACCCTGTCTCTACACCATGTTTCCTTTCTCTAAATGTTCAGATAGGCAGGGATGGGAATGACAATTTGTGTTTTCAGCTGAAAATAGCCGGGGTCCAGCGGGCGGGACACGCACGCACGCACGTGTACATGCACACGCACGCACGCAGCACGCACGTGTACGTGCACTACATAAACAGCGCTTTCTATCAGAACATGTGGTCATTCATCTGTAAATGTCAAGCAGCACGCTTCGCTTCTGCCAACCACACTACATAACAAATACACGTGACCCGATCTATGACGTCACGTGAAACGTCGCTATACACTTTCGAATGTCTACGATGCACTGTTGAGATTTTTTCCCCTTTTTTTTCTTTTCCCGATTTTTTCTCTTTTTCCGATTTTTTCCCTTTTTTTTTAATCAAAACTGGACTCGGACTTGGACTCGGACTCGGACTCGGGTGGCGCGGACTCGGACTCGGCCTCGGGGGGTGCGGACTCGACTACAACACTGATACATACATATCAATACACCACAGGATTCCTGACTTCGAATTACCACAAGCTAATAATCTAACACAACATCATAAAAACCACATTCTTCAACAATCTTGATTAACATATTCATCATTGATCTCAGCGGCTTTCTATGCTACTACTCTCGCTTCAAACCACAGTGATTAACCTATTTCTAATCATAGCCACAGAAACCAGCGTCTCTGAACATACAAAGTACATAATCAAGCTATTACACGACTAGATAACATTAATACACCTTAATCATATTTACCTTTATATTCTCCACATATCGCAACAAAACGCCAATTACTCCCGCGACACCCGAAACCTTGCTGTCCTTTGTCTAAGAAAAGCCCCGCTTCTTTAATTGAAATCAACAGCAATGCCTTCTACTGGAGAAAATCCTAAAGAAATCTTAACTACAATCCATAGAGGATTGTATTCATATGAAACATACAAACATTACATTATGCGACTGCTATCGCAAAAACAACAACATTATATTAGTATAGTGATCCCCATTTTATCGAGCCTCGGATCACTTATACGACGTACGTCCTTAGAAAACAATCCTTACGCATGTTATTTCACTCAGATAAACGGGACAGGACCTCAGTTAAACAAGATATTTCTTACAGAACCAATTTTCTGCTGTAAAGATCACCGACAATAACCCCTAATAAAGTGTAAAATGTAAATCCATAGCACATTGTTCGATGAAATAAGCTCGAATTTTAAAAAGCAAAATTTATAAGCAATACCAGTTATATAACTGGAAAGGGCAGTTGTTGCCAACTACATGTATCCCCCGTGATCTAGTATGAATGAAATATCTTTGTAAAGACGTAGAAGGTAGGTAAAGTTAAATAAGTCACAAAGACAAAGGTTTGTTACACAACTCATCTGCCTGAGATGTGCAAGTATGTTAAAATTGGTTGCCTTAGAGGTTTTGATACGCGACACACCTTCTCCCCAAGAATAGGCAGACACTGAAAAGCATAGTGAAACTGCTAAAAATTTACCTAATTTGCATAATTTTTAAGAAATATCAAAACCCCTGTGATATGTTTTGGGGCCAGTACTTATTCATTCACATACCAAAAATGAGTAAAATCTGTTGAACCTGAACTGACTTATGGCCATTTCCATTTTTGCCAAAAAGTGGGCGTGGCTCAAAAGTAGGTCGACTGGCGTGCTCCAAAATAGGACGTTCAAATGCCTCCCATAGGAGTAACAACTGTATGCAATTTGAAACATGTGGGTCAAACGGGTCTCAAGTTATCGTTGACCGTAGCTAAATGTTGATGAACAGATGGACGTACGACGAACGACACCCCATGGCAATAGGCAATAGCTCATCTTGACGATGTCAATGTGAGCTAAAAATGGGAAGGGTTACAAATATGAAGTTAGTTCCAAGAGATTAGAAGAGACAGCAGAAAATATCGAGAGAATGAGTGATAGCATGTAAAAAGAAAAATTAAAGAGACTGAGAATATCAGATCTACAACGAGAGAGAGAGAGCGAGAAAGAGGGAGAGGAGAGGAGGAGGGGAAGGGGAAGGGGAAGGGGGGAGGGAGAGAAAAAGAGACAGTCAGAAAGATGGCATTAAAGGTAGAATGAGAGGAGAAGAAAGAAAGGGAAGGAAAATGGCGAGGGAGCGAAAAGACAATAGAACAAGCGAGGAAGAAGAGTATGGAACTTGGAAGGATAACCAAGTAGACATAAGTAGACATGAAAATGATAGAGGCGCAGAGATGCCACAGGCTACACGTACGTCTTTCACTGTCTTTGTTGTCAAGTGCAGTGCACCAGATATTATTCTAACTTCCTCATTCTCTATGTCATGATGCTCATGAGTTACTTTTAACAACTCAAGCAATTTTGTTCGGTTGTATACGACTCCTATCTCGTCTCCAAGCAGCACATCCAATAACTTGCTGATTGGATATGATAGGGGGCCTGTAAGCACCATAAACGCCTTAGTCAACCACAGAGTGTGGGCGCCAACAGCCAGGCCGTGTCGACAGCATATAGCTTGTGGAACAATTTCGCCAAATATTACGATGGCAAATGTTGAGCCAATAACGGCTATGAGACCAGAAGTCAAATCATCGAGCAAAATCGTCAGTGTGGAGTTCACGAGAACATTTCCAAGAAGGAGTGTGCAGAGAAGATAGTTCCCATTTGCTCGCACTGGGCGAATTTTCTTCGCATATTGCTTCTCTGTCTCCGAGCCACAATTCTCCACTATAGCCAGCTCAGTTTTATCGAGGGCCATCAACCCAAGATTTAGTCCACTGAACATCCCAGACAACCCCAAGAGCACTATCAAAACAATGATCTGGACTGGCACAGGCAACAGTGTCGTCTCGGCATATGCCGGTTTCAACTTGAAAACTATCCATGGATCACTGCCTTGATGAATCCAACGAACATAAACACTTTCCGTTCCATTTTTATCTGGAACAATCTGCACTTCTCTGACGCAAACGTAGATTACAGCATCTAATGAAAATCTGTGACGCTCTAGCTTTACTCGAGCTACAGCGGACGTGTCTGTTAATGTACTCGTGTTGAATGAGAACGCACTAGTTCGACTCAAATCATCGCAACCACTGTTTCTCTCCTTTCCCGTAGCCGTAAAACTTATGCTCGTGTTTTCACTGAAGCCGTCGCCGATAAAGCGCAGATCTATCCAGTTGTCTACCTCGATCACTAACATTCCATCAATAACTTCACTCCTCTCCGTGCTTTCTGCACGAACTCCGCGAATAACAGCACCGTTTACAGCTAAATTCTGTGATTTTACGCATACAAAATAAACGTTCATTAGCAGGACAAAACATTTACAGAACACAACACGAGCCGCCATATTCCTTGCATTGGTTTATGGGTAATTCGATCAAATGAACAGCAAGCTTATCTGCAAACTGCATGCTACTAGTACTATCACTGGCTACTATGCGTTACTTTACTTCGTACACTCAGGAAACGTAGATTGAGCCCATGAGCGAGAGCGCCATCTGTCGTGAAGTTTGGCTTATCTGATGCAAGGAGCTAAATATAACTGTTATATTTAGCTCCTTGATCTGATGTAGCGCCGAACCGCGTTAGTAGCGCGTGTGCTCTAGCTGTACACGCATGCGAGTCGTATATAAGCAATAGGGCTAATAACACATAATTATGTATTATTATACATAATATTGTATATTATTAGCTCTTCATATAATAACAGTTGTTACATACAGATTAGTGGTACGCGCATACGCGTAAAGATGCAGAGATTGGCATATATAAGCTACGTCTACACGACGAACCTTAACTCGAGTTAAGCGTCTACACGGGGCCTTAACTCGAGTTAGCGTTAACTCGAGTTACCTTAACTCGCGTTAAGGCCCGTGTAAACGCCCCTCCCTTCCCCCGAATATGAGCATTGCCTAGAGTGCCCGCGTAATCACGCTAAGGAGCCCCGCTGAGTCTGCATCACTCTCACACTCGCTCCGAACAGCCATAGATCAGCGATCAGCTAGAGAGAGAATATCAGCTAGCTAGAGAGAGAATAGCTTAACCTCCACGAGTTAGCTTAACCTCCACGATAGGCGGCAGCACTAGTACGACGTACGTACACACGCACGCACGCGTACTTGCACACGCACGCACACACTCATGCACACACGCACGCACGTGTACGTGCACACGCACGCACGTGCACGTGCACACGCATGCACGCACGCCTACGTGCACATGCACACGCGCGCACGCACGCACGCACGCACGCACGCACGAACGTGTACCTGCACAGGCGCGCACGCACGCACGTTTATGTGCACATGCACGCACGAACGCATGCACGCACGTGTACGTGCACACGCACGCACGCACGCACACATGCACGCACATGTACGCACTCACGCATGCACGCACGTGCACACGTACCTGCGCACGCGCGCACGCACGCACGTGTACTTGCACACGCACGCACACACTCATGCACGCACGTGTACGTGCACATGCACGCACGCACACATGCACGCACATGTACGCACTCGTGCACGCATGCACGCACGCACGAACGCACGTGTACGTACGCACGCACGAACGCACGTGTACGTACGCACGCACGCACGCACGCATGCACGCACGCACGTATACGTGCACACGCACGCACGCATGCATAATAAATCGGCAATAATCGCTATCGGGTGTTGTCGTGTAGACGCTGCATAATCGCTAACTCGAGTTAAGGTTCGTCGTATAGACGCTACATAATCGCTAACTCGAGTTAGCTTAACTCGAGTTAAGGTTCGTCGTGTAGACGCTACATAATCGCTAACTCGAGTTAGCTTAACTCGAGTTAAGGTTCGTCGTGTAGACGAGGCTTATAATGTAGCACTAAAATACGAAGTTCAATTTTGTTTTTTCAATTTTTAATTCAAGATTTTAGATAAATACCAGCGATAAATACACAAAAATTTGACAAGCTCACATATTTATATTGTATATTGATCATTGTATATTTATATGTGTGTTCTGCTTGCTTATAGGCTACATGTCTAACCCTAAGACGATTAGTTATATTGTTGTTGAACTTGTATTCCAAGTATTTTTAAATTTGTTATTAAAAAGTTATTCTGTGCACAATTGCTTTCCGCATTGCTTCTTTGGAATGGGAAAAAAAGTTAAGGAAAGCGCAAGCAAAAATTAAGCATTTGTAAAGTAGAAAGGGAATATATGATAATAGTACGTAAGAGAGCTCTTGATTATATGTGGGGGAATATTGCTCAATTCGTCTGGTCACGCAATACGTTACCTCTATGCTGCCGTGGAGCTAGGGCACTTCGTGCCCATGCACACGTTTGGACTTTCTTGCTTACGCTGGCACAGCTTAAACGGTATTAAAACGGTTATGTCTACACGCTGAACCATCTTGTATGATATCTTCTGTAGTTTAATTTATTATTCCAACTGCTTTGTTAACTAACGCAATTTCTCAATGTATTTAATGTGATATATACCATTTATTACACACAGTGCGCGCGCGCTCTCTCTTCTCTCTCTTTCTCTCCTTCGCTCACTTACATTGACGCACACTCATGCACGTGCGTACGCACTGATTAACGCATATACACGCACGCATGCACGTGTGTGCTCGCACACGCAAAGTGACACAACCACCCGCTAGGGCCGCTGTCAGGCCCGTAGGCAGGTTTTTTTTACGGGAGGGTGCGATCAAACGCGTATACGGACCTAACGAGCGCCGGAGGCGCCAGTCTCTAGGGGGGTCCGGGGGCATGCCCCCCGATACATTTTGAAAATTAGGTTGTCTGAGACTGCATTTCGGGCGTTTTGAAGGCAGTATGAAATGAAAACATATGCAGCCAAAAGCGAAACTCAAAACGTGGACATTTCTCAAATTTTTAAACTTCAAAATAGATTTTTTCTGCAAAAAAGTGGACCTCCGCAGCCTGTGGGGGGGGGGCGCACCCGTCGCACCCGCTTCTCTACGGGCCTGAGGTTCAGTGTTCGGTTCTTTTAGTTCTGCACCCCCGCGTTGTCCGGTATGCGAGACAGCGATCTCGCTTATCTCTGCATATCTCTGCTGAAGCTTAGATCGGCTCAGTTATAATACCTAATGCAGATAAATCAGAGGCGGATCCAGAGGGTTTGGATGACCAGTTTCCATAGTTCTAGTCACAGCTAGGGGGGTCCGGGAAAAAAAAAAAATTAGGCTATATTTGGTGCATTCTGGTGAATTTTGAGGGTCAATTCTGAAGATACCCAGCCTGTGACCGGTTTCTGGAAACCGGTCTAAATCCGCGCCTGTAAATATAATAATCAGATAATTATATCTGACTAAGCACAAGAAGAGATCAATCGGACAGCATTGAATAACTATGACTTCAATCCGAATTCTAGTATACTGTATTGTCAACGATGAACACACACTGAATTTTCTTTTGCATTCAACCACATGTAGATTTGACGTTTCCCGTCGCAACGCACAGAAGATACAGCGTGTCCTGGGTGAAGGGAAGGTCCTGGCTAAGATATAGCAATAAAACATACGGAGCTATATGTCTATATGTGATTTAGTAAATTAGACTCCGGCTTCATAAGAGGTGGATTATTAAGACGTCATTTAATTAGACGATGTTGTATCGATGTAGGGATGTATAATTTTAATAGAATAAAACTATTCCAACAACTCCTAGAAGTGTATACTTCTTTCTTGTTGCCTTTTCCTATGTCGGGTTCGACCCCGCGCAAACTTTTTGTCGCTATACATTCCTGTCCTAAACATCTTCTGACCTGATAGTGTCAAGAGCGGATAATACTTATAAATGAAATATCTCCGAGTATACTTGTTAGCATTCTTGATAATATGATTTTTAGGCCATCTATACATTTTTAGAAGTTAGAAGGGAAGGATATAGCTATTGAAATAGTCATCCGCTGACTCCACGTCACAAGTTTTGTTCGTTTTCCAAGCGGCATGTGGCAGCGTTAAACAAACATGTTTGCGAATCGAGTTTATTATTCACTCCTGTTATTATGTTGTCAAGTTGCGTATACAGAAAAAAATGACTAGTCGCTGCTGCACCGCTCTAAAATATATTTCCGATTCTCGTCTACTTTGATGGAGTTCGACGTGACTGATTTCCACTGAAGATTACTGCAAAAATTAGCTTAATACGCTCTTGCTAAGACCAAACGAAAGTACGGTTTTACAAACTGTTTGTACTAAAAAAGCAAAAAGCGGTAACGCGTAAGTTAGCAGAATTCTAATGCTTTAGATCGGATATTTCGTTTATTTACAAAATTTCTGCAACGGTACATACTACTTGCAATCGAAGGAATGTTACTGAAACACACAAGCTAACAGTGTGGCCATGAATAATATTAAAAACACTCATCGTAAAACAAGCAAGCAGTCGACAAATTGAGCTACGTAATTCTGTTCAATATTTGACCAAGCTCAATAGGCATTAGATATGCTTTAGCGATAACGCTTCACTGCAGAATGTACAATAATTAATACGCTTAAATAAATTGATAATTATTATACCAGATTTTATAAGAACAGCTAGATTAACAGTCACGTTGGAAATACAACAACAAAACAACACGACATACACAAGACAGACGTAATCACGTAAAGAGGAAAATGCTATTCAATTAAGGAGAAATTGTGTTTTCTATGGAGGCATATGTAAGAAGAGAAAACCTGTTCACGTTTTACAGCACAAATTAACAAAATATCTACTAGGTATATATATGTTACAGAATTACATAACTGGTGCACAAAAGATAAAATAAAAGCTACTTTATCACCACACCTACGTGGTCACGACTTGTTTTGTAAGAGCGACCAAGCATGAAATGAACAATTTAACCATTTCTTTTCAATATTGGTGTCTCACCTACGACAACTCCATCCATCGTTCTCACGCAAGCTTCATGCCATGCATTAAACCCAGCCACCGCTATTACGACGGATTTAAGACAGATCAGTGACAAGCTTGGGAACAGCAATAATGAATGAGCAAATGAACCATGAGATCAATAGCAAAGAAATTCTTTACCACATACGTAATTATAAACAGTTCATATGCGCTGTAGATGATATTAAACATTGTGTAGGATCGAAAGCTTTGCTTTCTCTATTTAACACGCATATTTTGCTTGCCATCTTAACGTGCATGAGGTCAAAACGAACAACATCGTTACCATAATGCGTACAGTCAAACTGTTTTGAGGTGGTGATAAAGCAGCTGCAAAAAAAATTACCGACTAGCATGACATCCAAAACACATAGTTCTAAATAATTCATAATATTGTACCATTGGACTCAGGACGAGCTGATTTGTGCCAAGCACCATACTAGCAAATGTTCAGTAATCTGACAATATGATGTACAGCGAAGATGCGTGAGAAACATGCACTTATAAACGAAGAACATGGAGTAGAACAAAGAATGTTTACTGCTTCATACGACATATTAATAAAACTAGTTATTGCCTCATTAGCTGGGAGTCTCTAACATGCACGTATGCAGACTGGTTTACCATATATCAAGTGCATACAGGGCATACCCAACCCTACTGCACGAGCTATAAAATATATTCCATACAGTTATTTTTCAGTCAGCTTATATCATGGTCTTTTCTTTTACGTTAGCATTACAAATATTGCAAGTGTACTAGTTACAAAAACATACCTATTCATACAATTCCTCTTCCCTTAAAATATGGTATCGAGGACTGGCATGCCCTTGCGGCTATGGAGATTTCTATTGTTATGAATGTAACATCATAACACAGAAGTGCGAGTGTCAAACCGGTACATTATTGCTACCTTGTATGCATTAAAAATATTTTATAAAACCAATAACTCAATATTGTACCCGGAACGTGCTTCACTGATAGTGAGGCACAATACAACCTTTAAGAAAACGTATAGGTCATAATTTGCATATACGGTGAACTGCATGCGCACTGCAGCTATATGTACAAGTAGTGCGGCAAATTAAAATATCAAATATGTGGACACAAGATCAAGACTTACAGACAATAACCCTGTATTACCAGCATTTGATGGTCTAGAACTAGACATGTACGAATTTTGCGTGAATCCACTAACAGCTGGGGAAGCCTTCACGTGTTCACGTGCACCCAGCCTGCAAGCTGCATTCCAAAAACGTATGCTAAATACATCATTGCTGGTTAGCAAAAGGCACATGCCAAATGCGTGAAATGCAGGGTGATTATCTGCAGGAGCAGTGACTGAACACAATGTCATAGCACACGCTTGTTATAATATTATGATAGAACATATGTGCAAGTACTCTCGTGGTGTTAGACCTTCCATATTCCAGCCACTCTGAGTTCATTGCCTATCATGCAAAAGAGCAAAGGGAAAGTGTTAGCATAAAAAATGTTATAAGTAACGAAAAGAATTACACACAGCATTATGAGTCTATGGCTATCACTAAGAAAAATTTCCATGGTTGTTAAACATGGCACACATGTTAGCAATGAAACCACAGCAAACATCTATGATTGAACAGCAAACATATATGGGATAAATTTCTGTAAGCATAGCATAAGTACTAATAAGACTAGTACTGAATGAAATGCAAATATGCAATACACCGAGTGAACTGTGAGGACAGACATTCCTCAAACTTATTTAGACACTGAAGCCCTTAACCGCATACATATGCAAAAACATGACCTGAAACAATGTTTTGCAACATTGACTGGGACACATAACTACACATAACGAACAGTGCACATACTGAACAGAATTATCACTGTGATTTACCTTTTCAGCAACCCATGAGAAGGGTCTGAAAATAACAATGACCACACTGCATCCATATTCATGCTCAATACTTCCAATTAATTATAGTTTTATATATTTCATTTTAATCTTTCCATCAATTCACGCAGGGGCGCATGCCTGTGTGGACTATACAAAAACCCATCTAAAGAGTGAATAGGCCTGGAATATCACCTTTCTTGCTTCGCCCAGGGCTAACTGGCTGAATAAAGCTGCTCTTCATATTTGTCTTTGAGTCTCTATTGAGCTCTTTCTGCAAATATATGTTCACCATAATTAATTTAATATTTTAATATGATATATATATATATATATCTGTTAATTGATACATAATATGTGACAATAGATAGGGTTGAAGGCTCGATCATCACAGCATGAGACTGCAAATGCCTTTTAGACAGCACTTATGCATGAATTAATGAACCTAGTCACTGTTTAGTATACAGATATATCTGCACACATTAGTTAACCATTATTATTAAATCTCGATCATCTTTCAATTATACTGTAAAGCCTTTCTAGCTAATGTGATTGTATATATGCTATGCAAGAACAGTATCATGGATAATGGATGGGTTATGAATGCCATGTATTACCGATTAAAATATAAAACACAGTGATCTAGCTCATGGTGGCATATATTCAAAGTCTGAATTCACAGAGCAGAACTTACTGCAAAGTCAAAGTAGCCAGCGCTGCCTATTGACAGGACTGTGAGGTCACACTTTGGGTCGTTGACAGTGGTGGCACTAAATTGGTTCGTCATCTGTGTGTCATTTTTGTCTGCGAGTGCCCGTCTACTGGAGCGCAAGTTGTACTCCTGAAATTTTTAAGAGGAACTCATATAAACATGCAACTGGAATTGCCTATGACCATTAAGAATTTCAAATATTGCATAAATAACACATACAATTATATGGTGGTATTTAACATGCTTGTTGATTGTGTAAAATGGAATACACATTTGTACGATAACAAATAATGACTAATGGCCCAGATGAAGAATTTATACATGTTATGAAAATTACCGTTAGATGTAAATTGAGATATATAATACTGTAAAATATCAAATTAATTGTTTACAAGAATGATATTGTTTAAAATGCAAACACACACACACCACACACGTGCATAAGTGAAAAAGTGCAATTTGGAAACACGTGAAAGAAAACAGAAATTTAACCATTACACATAGTCAGAAGTTGATAATAGAAAACTATTATTTAATCTTGATTATGATATAATAGGGTTCTGTTATTCATTGCCATTTACACCTACCCTGGAATGAGATTTGCCAATACTCTGTCTACTCCTCCGTCTTCTAGACATTACAGTCTGGAAAATTCCACAGCAATGAGCCACTCATGATTCACATGAAAACAGATATGCCTACATACTATAGATTCTACTTGGATGCAAGAAGCACACAAAAGTTATCTAAAAACTTTCTAATATTTACTATTCTATCATACACAACTATAGGTCATCTAGAAAAAGACACCAGATATAATATAGCAATCAAGGCAAACATAAATATAGCAAAAACAATATCTACCAATTCTGCTGTCGTTTCCACTTCTGAATAGACAGGTTCTGGCTTATGTCAATTGAAACTGTCCTATAGAAATCTCGTTAATAATTGCAGCATATAATGTTCTCCCGTAATGTGCTTGCTATATTTATGTTCAATGCAGGCAACAGGTTGTCTGTACAAAACAATGTGCTACAACTAGAGAGAGAGAGAAAGAGAGAGAGAGAGAGCGAGAGAGCGAGAAAGAGCAAAACTACATTCAACCTGAACAACACATCAGACGTATTGTGAAAAATTAATTACCTTGATTGAAGATTTGGCTGCGGATCGCGGCGGACGAGCAGTAGGCGAGTGAAAGACCGACAGTCCAGTGACTCCCAGCCGACTCTGTGTAGAGACAGCTTGGCTGTTATTCAGCTGTGGAAAGGCATGAAAGGGTGCAATGACAAACTTGGATAGTGCACGAGGAATGTACAACAAAGGATTAGTGTGAGGCATGGTAGCAGAATGGAGGGGAAGCATGCTGCTCTTGTGAATTAGTTACCTAACTATGGAATTTTTCTTTAGCAATCTTCATACCTAACATTGCAAAGTGATTGGATCTTAAATGTGCAACTCTTAATAAAATTAAGTAGGGTATCATTATTAGTAATACAATTAAACTAATTACTGTATTTTTTTCTCAAATACTTCAGTCATTCAGTTAAATACAGTAATGGTGGGTTCTAGACAGTCTAGTTTGCATATCTTAGTGGTTTGCTTGTTTTCTAAAGAAAATGAGACCGGTGAAAAGGAAAACATCAAACACCAAGATGTACAAACTAAACTGGTTTTATTCTGCACTACAAGTGTCATATAACAAGGAGGTTCACAACCAAGCATGCTATCTGTGCTCTTACAAACAAGGATGGCCAGAACAGTTATAAATAATATAGTGCATTGAATATGTTACCGCCTATACAGTTTCTACACACAAATCACTAGGATGGTGGTTATAACACTTCAAAAACAATAGCCCTTCATGGCCATTCACCTCAAATATTTAACAAATAATTAGGTCTATTTAAAAAAAAACTTGTAATTGCTTCACATGACCATGAACAAAAACATTTAGACAACTGTGTAACTCCAAGTACACACTGTCAAGTTACCATAACCAAGTGACCTACTTAAAAATGGCATGGGTATCAATAAAAAGGCACCGGCTACATAAAAACGAAATGGCAAATGCCATAACACACAGCTATTTGGAGGGAAAGGGTTTCAATGTGTAAAGAATGAATAATGTAATTTGAAAACACCAATAAATAATCAAGTTCAATTCCCATTTGCAAAAATATTTGCATGTTAAATTGCATGCTTTTTATGTACAGAGGGTAAATTAAATTATTAATCTCTAATTAGGAATAAAAATCTAACAATGCATGGTCACATAAATGCACGAACACACAGCTTCTTTCTTCTTCAATTCTCAGGAGCTCTTTAGGGGGCCCAGATTTCTACATTATATTTGGTTATATATATTGCTCGAAATTTATGCTACGTACAAACCCATTTTCACTGCTCAATACATTGATTAAAACCTAATACTGTGATTATATAAATTGCAGTTTCTACTCCTGCTCAACACTTTGCTTTGGTAACCGGCACTATGATAGCACCAGTTGAATAACTAGTTCATTTTCATATGCCACACAACCATGCATAAGGAGTAATAAATGATATTTGTACTGTATTTAAAAAGCAAAAGATTTTTAATACATATATGATCAAAAGTAGATAATAACTACTCTTGCTACTCTCGTTATTATCTACTCTTGATATGATGTAAATGCTTAAAAATTACAATCATCCGTGGTGTCTGGAATGAAAAATTGACTGAAGTGGAAATAAGAAAACTGATTTCATTCCCTCGAGCAAATAAAGTCGCGTTTCAGTTATTTTTTATTCCTAGCATTGAGCAGTAAAAATTGTTATGTAGCATTGCAAGATGAACAGAAATTATAACATAAGTTAGCTTTAAATAGATGGACCCAAATAGTTGTAACTAGCTTGAATTTAGAAATAGCTGCATAAAAATTGATCACGGTCTGCTCTGCAGGTGCATAACATTTATACTGACAGTGATTGATTATGTTACTTTGGGAAATCCCTTTTTAAATTAATAAAGATGAATTTCTGCTATGTATATACCATATTTACTAGCTGTAATTACAAATTATATATGGACAAAAGTTTGTGACCCGAGTCTTCATAACACAATGAGTAAAGTAATTCAAGTGAATTTCCCAGATATGCTGCAAGAGATCAAACTAAGACCGCTAAATTGGAACAATTGGTTCACCGATTATATATACAATAAAACCAGTCTCAAAATCTCGATACCACGATACAATGTACCAGATAAGTGTTCCTACGTATGTAATTGAATGATACATTTGTCTAAACATCCACAAACGTTAAACCTATCGGTAAACAAGGAGCAAAAAAGATATATTGCATCAGAAAATGTGCACATAATTAATTCTATAGCTGTCAATCAATATCACCTTAAAATATTTAGGCTCTTTCCATTGAATTTAATCAACTACAAAGAACATAGAGCTGAAAATGTATTCAACAGGGTCTAGAAGCGTAGGCTACGAGACCGACGCTTACTTCTGCGCAGAGGTGTGCTGGACTTGCCCCTCAGCTCCATCCTAGCCAAACCCATCTTACTACTGCACAGTGGCGAATTTTTAAAATTTGCGAGGGGCATTCGCTTCTGAGTAGGGGCAGACTTGATAATAGAAGCACTTGAAGGAGAACCAGTTACCTTTCTCAGTTTGTTGTTAGGCGTTTTTGTTGGCGTGCCAAGGAATCGTTTACGAGGAGTGGAGACAGGCTTGCTTCCATAGACCATCTCTTCCTCCATCTGCCTGGTCCTCTTTTTATGCTGTGGCAAACAGATGCACATGTCAGAGAAAATAACAATTGAACAGCACGAAATTAGTAAACGGGCAAGTTCCTTTTCCAAGGCAGTGCACCATACTAGCAAGTACTTGACTAGTCAAAAGGCATAACACAGAACAATTTCACGTTTACGGCTTCAAATTTGATCCGTGCGCTGAGGCCCACTAGTTATTACACTAGTAGTATTAGTTAGTACAGAAGTTGAAATCATAAATATATCAAGTAGCATAGGGCCTAACCCTTTCTTGCTTTTCATTCTCCTGTGCCGATCTGTGGTCCTCCCATTGGCCATGCACATAGTCTATGAAGGGCACTCCATCCACGAGGAAGATACAACCATTTTCTGCCTCCCACTTCTGGACAAGCCTGTCTATCTCTTTTTCTAGCTGTAGAGCACAAACACAATACGTGACTGTTCATCGTACATGCAAAACCGTGTTTTGCATGTGGCCATGGCACCGGCATAATATATCCACTAATACTTAGTTACCAGATAAACCTCATGATTTATGTTAATAGGGAAAACATTATCACACACATCCGGACTCAAAAGCTCAAACACATGCAAGTTCAATAAAAAACTAGAAAGGGCAGTTGTCGCCAATTACATGTATCCCCCGTGTTCTCCCCAAGATGTGTAAGTATACAAAGTTTGGTCGCGCCAGGTCAATTAGGGGCCGAGTCATAGAGCGGAAAGGAAATATGATAAAGGTCAAGGTCGAGGTCAATGCCAAATAAAGGTTGCAGTGACCTGGTTTCGGTACGCGACACACCTTCTCCACAAGATGTGTAGGTATACCAAGTTTGGTCACGCTAGGTCAATTAGGGGCCGAGTTAGAGAGCAGAAGGGAAATATGATCAAGGTCAAGGTCGAGGTCAATGCCAAATAAAGGTTGCAGTGACCTGGTTTCGGTACGCGACACACCTTCTCCACAAGATGTGTAGGTATAC